TAATGTCGTCACAATCTCTCTAACCATTGTAGCTACTGGGGGTGGGTGGGGGGGGGGGGTGTTACATAAATGAATCATTTTGTTTTCAAAGTCACTTCGTTTCAGTATAGGGAAAGAATATCGATTTGTCATCGGAACAGGAATTTCATAAACTCCGCATGGATTGAATAGAAAAATGCGTGTTCATTGTGGTTATGGTAGACGAAGCAATGTCAGACAGGACGTAGTTGCATATAAACTTTTTTGGTCTACATGGTACAGTTACTCTTGTAACACCTAGGCCCCTTCTTATACAGAGTTGCCATCGATCCAAATCAATCACAAGGTCTCTAATCAATCGCAAGTTTGCAGTCCACTATCTCTTATCTAAATAGTTGCAATTAGTATCAACTCTTTACAAGACAGCCGGACCCAGAAAGGAAGAAATAATACGCAATGGGAATGTTTATTGGTAATGGCCTAACGGATGATAGAAACAGTGTCGGACTATTAATCATAATAATATTCTGGATTTATATAGCGCTTATACCAGATTACCGTCTCTGAGCGCTTTACCGATATTATCTTCCTAGTCATCGGATTTATTCAAACACAATGTGCACCATCTCCATTCCCTAGGGGGTATTCCTACAATATGGTCACTGTGAGGGCATATGGCAATTATTAACACAGGGGCTTTCGTCATCCTACCATGTCCCCATTTCTCTCCCGGGTATGTAGTGGCAAATGCAAATTAATGCCTTGCAAAAGGACATGAATTCCGTGTCAGAGAAGAAAATATCCATTATACTTTTTTTTTAAATATGCGACTGAAGAGCCTGTTAAGCATCAGTATGCATTTAGATAAAAGGAATTGACTCTCCCAAATTACCAAAGCAACACTAGTATCTGTTTTGGGTCAAGATCAACCATAAAGAAAGATTGGTGAGTCAAATACTAACGTATAACAAAGACGGAAAGGTTATCACACACATATCAAAAACAGTGTATTGGGATATGTTCTTATCGTTATAGGAAACGTGGTGAGCTTTTGCATTAAATTTGACATTAACCCACATTCCTTCCCACACAAACATGCCTGATATGCTTGATTCATACAGAATATAGAATGATTAAAGGAAAGAGATCCAATCTTAACAGACACTACTCTAAGAGAAATCAGAAATATCAGAGAAGCAGATTGGCAAAAGTTTGAATGAAATCGTGACAAAAAAAATATGATGTATATTGGCAATTCAATCGGTAATGTCACTCTGACCTAATGCCGAACAACTTATTCTTATGTTTTAACAAAGCAAAATGACTAAAATGTCGTATTATATAGGATCCAGGAGGGTCTTTGCTATCAAAATGTTGCTACTCAAAATATGGTTTGAGTAGTACCCCAAAGGAGAAGGCAGTGAGAATAAAAACAGAAATTATTGATATTTTTGTACACGACAAACGGGAGAGTGGTCCGTGACATCGTCACAATCCACTGACCAAATTGCCAAATTGAGATTTGGTGATCTCATGTTTCAAACATTCACAACCCTCGTATTATCGGGTCAATATATTTTTTAATTTTTTGCAGTTCTGTATCTCTCATATTTATGTTTTCATACAAATGAACTTCATACAAAGGTTGGATCGCACTTTAAGACTAGTTCTGAGGACTTATGGTAGATTTGCTGAAGGAAATATTACCAGTAGCTGTCTCGCCTACGTACGTGTTATTGACGTTCTTGATACCGATTCATAACTAATGCGTAATTTGGATAACAAGCGTGTTTAGATTTATTCAATTTTTGTACATGAATTCCAGTTAAATCTTTACCTCTTCGGGGGAGGCAGTGGTTTGGAATAAAATGGAGGGGTAGCTGACATCATTCGTCAGCTAGCTGCGCCTGTCGTCAGCATACATAATTTTTTACTCGCTCATATACCCGTGAGATGCATACACGATCTCCACAGTAGTCAATTAGAAAATAATAAGTTATGCCAAATTGAACTATTCTCTGTCATGTCTATGCAAGGTAACGATGGAAATAATATTTTTATTTTATTTTAGCGAAAATAAAGCAACATTTCAAGTGAGTAAGATGATGTTGAGAAATTGTTGAGGAGTTTCTCTGTTTGTTTACAATGGTTGCAAGTGGGTGATACCTGGTTCTTCTACAGGAAAGAAAGAGACTCGAAAAGGGAAGCTTACATGATTACACTGTAGAACTAAAAATAGGGTATCCAGAAGATGATTGAACAGGGGTGGGGTCCGCACTGAGAGGGGGTGGAATCTTCCGCGGGTGGGATGTGAGATGTATCTGGACAGACGCAGGTGATGTACGCCCAAGCAAATTTTACGGGCTTGAAGACGTCTGTGCTTGAAGGTGGGGGGGGGGGGCTACGTCAGGCCCATCCAATACTGGATAAGGCATTCCACTGATGGCAAATGAGAAGGACATAGACATACTTTGTGCTAATTTTCTGGAGAAAAAACATTTATGTTCGCTAGCTATCTAAGATCAAACGTATAGTAAAAATTCAAAGGAAATTGCATTATTTTTGTTTTAAAGATTTGGAGGAAAAAAAATGTAATAATGATAATAATTTTAATAGAAGTGTAAACTTATAGAGCGCGCACACTGTCTATGGACGCTCGTGGCGCTAGCTCAGGAACAGCTAGTATTTGCTGATTATCATTTGACCTCAAATCAGAAGCATGTGAGCTCCAATAAATAATAGGCCTACACATAATTAAGTCTGAACAAGAAAGATTATCATGTCGTGAAATATGAAAAATAATTAGAATCATCATGACTCACACATAATTTCATCGGATGCGACCAGCTTCAAGGTATTTCATACCAAAACAAGAAAAACTAGCATACGTTTATGTTGCATCTTCCTTACGAAAAAATATGTTTTCATATTTTATATATATCTGGAAACATGATAAGCTGAAGCATTTCGACATTTGTTATTTACATTAATATAAAGATTGTTTATCACGAATGTCAGGTAGCACATAATTAAGCTTCGTGTCGCCCAACCTAATTCCAGTCTTAATTAGGATTAATATATATTTAGCCAGCTGATTACACGTACTGTTGGTGAAATAAATAATCACTTCCCAGTGGCGTTTGCCCGAACCTAGACTTTCTTATTTCTTCTATCTCGGTCGCCCTTTCACGCAGACATGTCAAGATGATTAGTATTAATCCATCTCGACTTAAGATCCGACTCAACATCAAATGTAAAGAGGTTAACTTCAGCGGTTTAAGCTGCACCCTTTATTAATCCTAATCTGCGTTACACCCCGCCTCGTGCCCCCAGAGGGATTGGGGTGAGATTAATAGGAATGCATTTTGGTTCATCGTTCATGCGGTCGGTTAACGTCAAGACTTGGTCTTTAGATTATTTGTTTATTTTTATCCAGCACTTGTCAAATATTTCTTGGTTTTTTTATTTTTTTATTCAATTACTTAAATCGGAATAACTTCAGGCTCCTTTGATTTTTCTCTGGAGGGAATGAGGCTCTATTTCATAAATTAAACACCCATTCCAGTTTGATTTATATTAATCGAACAACAATTGGAACTAAACTCCAATGAATAATATATAAATGATAAAAAACAAAACAGGAAAGAAAGTGGTGAGGAGAAAGAAGAAGAAGTAGAAGACGACGACGAAGAAGAAGAAGAAGAAGAAGAAGAAGAAGAAGAAGAAGAAGAAGAAGAAGAAGAAGAAGAAGAAGAAAAAGAAGAAGAAGTACAAGAAGAAGAAGAAGAAGAAGAAGAAGAAGAAGAAGAAGAAGAAGAAAGAGAAGGAAGAGGAGGAGGAAGAGGATAAAGAAGAGGATAAGGAGAAGAAAAAGAGGAGGAGGAAGAAGAAGAAGACGGAGGAGGAGGAAGAGGATAGGGAAAAGAGAATGAGAAGGAAAAAGAATAAGAATAAGAATAAGAAATACAAAGAAGAAGAAAAGAAGAAGAAAAAAAAGAAGAGGAGGAAGAAGAAAAAACTAATAATAAGATGATGGTGAAGAAGAAGAAAGGGACAAAGGAAGAGGGTAGGAGGAAAACAAGAATTATTCATGCAGCGCATTTCCTCACCCATGTTGTAACCATGGTAACTATAGTCATAACGAACGAGCTCATAACTGCTTTATTTTTTATTCTTTCAACTGGAATACCATGACATTTCATTGACGTGTAAACACACTGATATATATCAGGATAACGTCTACAGGGTCTTTGCGACACACTGACTGTCAATGAATTACTCTATCTTGAAGACACACCAAAGATAAGGGGCCTATTTGTTATAATCATGATTCAGTTTCCGGAAAGGATACCGTTTAAGAATGAGTATAATTGGGACAATACGGCATATTTTTCTTGGATTCAATTGGGTTAGTGTGACACATCTATCTCTATTAGAGAACAGGGGGCACTGTAATGAATAGAGACAAAAAGAAAAATAGGTTTTCAAAAGTCAGGGTATGATGTCATAACGCTCTTTTTTTTATGCCTAAATCTGAATTTTGGCTCTTCCTTATGTAGAAATAGTATTGGACAGTAAATGCAAGTACTCTTATTTCCACCAAGTAAATGGGATTTCAAAATCATTTTTTTTTGGACAAAATTTTCTCCCTTGAATAAATATTACGTGTAAAACTCCAAGTCGAAAAATCTCTATATCGAAATATGCATATGGACTTGATCTTATTTTATCAGATTTGTCTACTACATGTAAATCAAATCAACTGGGTTAAGCAAGTAGTTACCACAGCGAGCTCCAAATGGATATTTAAATAGCTGTTTCTGCGTATTATTATGTTCACCTAGGAGGGATTGTTGTAGACAAACTTCAAGAAACTGACTAAGTCTATTTGGAGCAGGAAGGAAGTTAGCTTTTAAACATAGCGCAGACGCCTTTCTGGCTTTAAACAGACTAGTTTATGGTAACTGAATATGATGCATAAAATGATGCTATTAATGTAAATCAGTAGAGGGGTATCTTACCTCCTTTGCTCTTCTTTGGTTTTATTTCCTCTCGCTTCATTTGTTTTGCATCATCACCATGATCCTGTGGTACTATGTTTCCAAATTGTTTCTTTCTTTTTCTTACTCTCTCCCTCTTTTTCTCCATCCTCTCCTCCAGCTCTCTCCTCTCCGTCAGATCATAGTAACCAGGGTAACCCTCATCCTCATCATCTTCTTGTCTCCTTAACGCGAGTATCCTCTCTGCGTCATCCTCCGCAATTCTCTTTCTTTCCTCTGAGTTAGAGTAATCCATACCCTTTTGAGGGATGTGTTCCTCCCCTCTCTCCCCGGCATCACCACCCACAGAGTACGCTGGACTCTCCTGTTGCTCCAGCTTTCGTTGCATCCCCATCACGACACCCCCACCCCCTATACCACCACCACCAGCAGCAACACCACCACCCCTACCCCTGCCACCGCCTCGGCTCCTCCGCCTTGGTACCCTACGATGCCCAACATCGACATCGTTCCCTGGAGCATCCTCCAGTCCATCATCCTCCCTCACACCTGTTCTTAGCCCCTTCTCTGGAAGATGTTTCATCCTACCAGCCACCCTACCCTCATCACCAGGCCCGCCAACTAAACCATGAGAGTGTAGGAGACTCACTATCATGACGGTGGTTAACATCGTCAAGACAACTCCACTCCTCAAAAACTTTCTTCTCGAAATCCACTTCCCCATTTTTATCATATTTGGTAAAATCCTCCCTCTTTCCAAGCTTACAAAATGTCACATATAAAAAAACAGGTTGTAGCAGATGATGACGTTGGAGGAACTTTGTGCACACATGCGAACAATTCAAATGTAAATCCACTTGCATTAGATTGTAGTACTATTGTGGTGGATAGAAGTTCATCTATGATAGATCACTAATTCATTCCGACAAGCCGAGTTGGATCTTCGTCAGCTCAACATTTCCTCTCGCATCTCGAATTAAAGTCAAGCTGATGCTCGCTTCAAAACATATTCCCTTTAAAGATCATTGATCAAGTCAGGATGCGAGGCAGGCCTTTAAATCTGACCTGAAAAGCAATCGAGCTAGCTTTCCAGTGTTTACTGGCATACGCCTAAATATCCGAAATCACAGCTTAGGTCGATCATGGGTCGACTGAGGTTGTCACGTAAGGAACATGCTTTCGAGGCAGACGACTCGACTCTTGTAAAGAAATTAGTTCAGTTTTGGCGCGAAGCCATGGTATAGAAATCCGCTGGCGAGGCAGAGTGTGTGACAACTGTTTTTGATTCCACGCTTGACATATGCCTCTTTCATGACTCTGAGCAACAGCGAGAAACAAAATGTTTTTGCAAACCCTATCGGTAAGTTAGTCAAGTATCTGCACGCGACACCAATCCGTAGCGAGCGTTGATGTCATGGAAGCTTTCAACCAATCCCATATCATCTCACGCGCATGCTCCGTTGAACGGCCACCTGTGCGAGTTGTAAAAGCGTCAAAACAATGTCTCGAATACACACTGAGCGAACAGTATGCGCAGATAAAGCGTTTAAGTGAATGAATTAAATTAATCAATTCCCGAATCAATTACGGTAATATTTGAAAGAAAAGGGAAATGATTGTGCTTGCTATCTATAAATCCCAGTCTTGTCAATGAAACAGCCTAGCTCGCTAATAAATATGTTTGTATTTCCCTGTTATTGAATAACACGCGCTGAAAAATAGGCCTACATTATTCCAAAGGTTTGTTTATAAAACATAATTTGCAGTATATATCGTACTTTGGATATTGCCAACGTAGTTATCAAAAGGAATTAGATATCTTATTTGAGTCAAATTAAACCATTTTGTGAAGAAACTGTTCACAATGCAGCCATAATATTACAATATCATCAGAATTAATTTTTTTATTGTATCCGATGATTTACATTGTTTCACATAACAACTAAATTATTCATCTTAAAGGCTATTCGCAAGAATTAGATCAATTGTAAACAAAAATAGAAATTACATGAGTGTATTTGTATTGGATACTCGACGGATAAGTGAGGTTATATAGTTTTGTTTCGCTGCCTTACCCCTCCTAGTTCATGCAAGTTTGTTCGTTGGTTTTGCGTAATCGAACTTTTATAATGCAGACTTTGGACCTATTGAGCATATGTCTCGTTATACTCATGATCTCTAATAAACGGGAAAATATTACAATAATTATATTGAGCAAAGTCATCGAACTAAAATTATAACAATTCAATGTGCTGATGAAAATTTTCTAGAACTCGTGCATTAGTTCATTTCGTATTCCAGTGAAATATGCTTTGTCTTTAAACATAACCTTAAATTCAATAATAATCTATAAAGCTAAAAGGAGCAGTTTCCATCGTGCCAGGCCTAAACATGTATCTCAGTATTTTAGTGTTAGGAAGTTTAGGGATTATTATCAAATTATAAATGATCCGCTATGTTTCAGCGCAGATTTAAGCGGATATGACTTTCAAACATGACTCGAAACTTTTTCCTTGTAAAGAGCGCAAATTGTTGAGCTAAGTTTTAAGACATTTCGAAAGCCATGCTAAAGGAACGGAACGACGAAGATGAAGCGAGTAAGAGGGAAGATGTGACGGGAGATAGGGGAGGGGAAGACAGTGAGAGATAGCAGAGAGAAAGAGAACCAGACAGAGAGGGGTTAGAGGCAGAGGTAGAGAGAGAGTGTGTGTGTGTGTGTGTGTGTGTGAGAGAGAGAGAGAGAGGGGGGAGGGGGAGGGGTAGAGAGTGAGATAGATGAAGGAAGAAATAGCTTGCACAGGGACATACAAGAAGAGCCGAGGGCAGAGACATGGGAGAAAGGGACAGACATTCGAATAAAGTGGGCATGGGACAGAGGATAAATATAATTTATGTGTGAAAAAGAGGGGGTAGAAGGAAATAGGGCTAGAAAATTAAACAGAGAGAGAGTGGTAAGAAAGAGAGAATCATAGGGGTGAGAGAAAGTAAGAAAGAGAGAAGAGGGAGAAGAGATAGAGTAAGAGAAGACTGAAATAGATTAAAGAGAGAGAAAGATAGACAGACGGAGAGAGAAAGATAGACAGAGATATAACAGAGGCAAACAAAGAGAGGTGGGACGGAGAAAGAGAGAGAGAGAGAGAGAGGCGGAGGGAGAGAAAAGAAGAGAAACAGGGGAAGGAGAGAGAAACAGACAGACAGACAGACAGATAGAGACAGACAGAGAGAGAGAGAGAGAGAGAGAGAGAGAGAGAGAGAGACGGGGAGACGCAGCATGACAGTGTAAAGATGAAGCGAGCGAGTGCCAGGCAGGAGGCGTGAGTATTTTGGATGCCTTTCAAATAGGGACTTCCTCCGCCCGCCTATGGAGTAATCAAATAACCCGCATTATTCAATTTACTGGATTATTCTTGAAACACTTTTAGAAAAGGAAAATGGCAATCTGTTGATAAGTAGACCTTGATCTTCACATGAGCTATACCTAGAATGCCTTTCTTCATACCGTCATACCAGTTTTATGAGTGTGTTAATTTGAGGTTAAAATAAAGAACGTATACTGTACTATACAGTAGGGTATTTCAGCTTGTCGTACATGGAAGCCTCGTTATGTGTAAATCCAGCAGATTTTATAATTGTTATGAGTTTTGCCAGCTGAAACAGATTCCATACAATCTCCTTGACTACCACCATCATCCCCATGACAACTTCCACCCGATTATGTCACCTCTTTTTGCCGAAAAAGAACATAATGACAATTGCCCTGTGTAAATGACTATATTAAATACGGGTAGCTCGTGGGACGATAATGTACCCTACATGCTGAATCATTATCGTGAATATGATTATTCGAATGTTGTGCTCTTCGCCACGGCTCAGGATTTTCCGACCTTTTTCTGACATAGCAACCAATTACCAAATTACCAAAATAATAACCAATCACACAGCATGTTTCAAACTTAGTATCAATAACACCGGTATTACGATAATTACGGTTTGCTAGGAACGAGAATTCGATTAGTATGAATGAATGCAGAGGTATACTGCATTGGCTCTTCAGTTACTCCCACAATCAATGATACCGGTACGTATCGAGTTAGCAGCTCTCTAGCCAGAGGCGTTGCGTGGGATCAGAAATTGAGTGGCATCATCTTCTTTTCGCGTTTCATCTCCCTCCCTACCCCTCCTTTTCTTCTTCTTCTTCATCTTCCTTTTCTTCTTCTTATTCTTGTTCTTCTTCTTGTTCTTCTTCTCGTTGTTGTTCTTCTTGTTCTTCTTGTTCTTGTTCTTCTTGTTCTTGTTGTTCTTGTTGTTGTTGTTGTTGTTCTTCTTCTTGTTGTTGTTGCTCTTCTTCTTGTTATTCTTCTTCTTCTTGTTCTTCTTGTTCTTGTTCTTGTTCTTGTTCTTCTTCGTCATCTTCCTCTTCTTCCTCTTCTTCTTTTCCTCTTCTATATGTTGTCTTTTTCCCAACATTTGATCGAAACACGTGCCCCATGCCACATGCCCCCCCCCCCCTTTCTAGCTAGATCACTGTAACTATTTATATGTCAAACAGTGAGACATGTTCATTCTTTTTAATTATTTGTTAACGTCAATAATCATGCACGTCAACATTTACACCTGCACTCCATCTAATTGTATAGCTAATTAGTGTCAACGAGACATCTTTCCGTTCACCAATCATCACATGTCATGTGGAGCGCGAGATCTATATATTCGAGATGTGACACATTCTGGTTTATCATAATCAATAACATCCTTGACAATATGCATTGAATTTTTAATGAGGTATTAGCTGATAAAGATTATTATTACAATTTGTCAGAACTGCCTATCAAACTTTGTGTATTTAATATTGTAGTAGATTTACATTTTCATTATGGTAAATTGACAAGTGATATACATGTATCGACGCCATATCCACTGGTTTAAACCGACCACAGTGGACGTTCTCTCTGAATTGCCATTACCCTATGTTTATGAACTAAGACAGTACATTTTTTCTACAGCGACCTCTCTCGACCTAGGTTTAGTAAATGGGGAATACCCTCTGTTTACTATTTGGCCACCATGAATATAGCCACTCTTCTAACTTTAAAAAAAAATTCTAAACCAGTTTGGAAGCGCAGAATAATTATAGAGATCGTTATTAATAATGAACTATCGGAATACGTTATTTCCAACAAGACCAAAGTGATAATTAAATATGATAATTAATTTTCATATGGACAGAATTCATTGAGTAAAAACGTTAGTGTATGAAATCAACTGAACGATATGTGAACTCTCTATACCGGATACTCAGCTAACATGGATTTGACCTGGATGGGTGTGATCGTAGGTCCATGGTCACGCTCTATCCTGTGTATCGTACGTTTGGAGCTAAAAGGACATTAACTCATATGCTTTAGCACAGAGTTAGAGTTAACGACCTTCTGGCTCTGAACAGATGATATTAACATGCTTAACTGATTAATGTAGCAGTACCGGGATTCGCGATATGGAAAAACCTGTCAAGATTTTAAAGAATGAAATGAATGTACATGTATAGACAGGTGAAAATGAACATAAAGGTATATCATTTTAAATAAGTGCATGCATTGTGGATTAAAAAAATAATGTATGACTATCCCATCTTTAATTCTGCACTGCATATCTTCTTCTTTTGTTCCCAGTGGTAAGATTGAGGTTCAAAACCGACCCAATAGGCATAATTCACTTTCGTTTAGGGTATTATGATGCTACTATATGCCTAAAGATCATTCCATGTAATATCCAGGCATAAAATGGGGATCTGTTCGTTCAGGGGGCTCCCGCGTAATATAATAATGTCTTTTTAATGACCAAGTGATTATGGACGGGATTAATTTCATGATTCAATTATGCGATAATTATGCCTTTATCTTCCACACAGGTACAAGTGGAATATTCACCGTTAGCGGAATGGGGAATGGGGAACAAGTTGGGCACAGCCGCCATTTAAAGGGATCCGGTAACTTTGTCTGAGATTCTGAAACAAAATCCTGGATAAAGCTAATGCTGCAATGATGATTATGAACCTTTAAGTCAGTCAGGAATCCCATGACTTTTACAAGCCGATTGCCTGTCTAATTATCAAGATATTTATGATTGAAAATCGAAATCGAATTTTGCGTTTTCCTAACGGTTTTCCATAGTACTACAGTCTAGTGGAAAAAAATGAGTATGGTAAAAAAGGCCGGTCACTTAAAGATTTTAATTTTTTTGAGGCACTTCATGGTCATTTTAAAGCGCAATTTGTTTAGGGCTTCAATATTACACCATAATCAAAGACACTGATAACACGTTTGCCCATTCA